TCCAATTGGGTGTTCATAAAATTGGCAAGTCAAAGACCTCCTCCACGTAGGAGCCCAAGTCACAGAAGGAAGCCCAGTTGCAATTGGACAGCCCAACGGATAATTCACATCTTCTACATGCCACCACGCGCTATGCAGAAGCTGGGGGGCATTTGTGGGAACCGAATTAAATCACCCTAGGTCAAATAATTCCTTCCATTTGGGGATTATTTGACCTAATTGGGAGTTACTCTATTTAATTGGGAGTTACCCAATTAAATTGGCAATTACCTAATTAAAATGGGAATTGATTTGATTCCTACCCTAATTAATCAAATCTCACATAATCAGGAAGGAATAATTCCTTTCCTTCTACGGAATTATTCCTCGGAAACCCTAGCCTCCAAGGCCCCTATAAATACCTAGCTACACATAAGGGTTCACGTACGTCTAAACTCCTACTGAAACTCTGCAGAAATTATCCTTCACAAACCCTAGCCACCATCTTCTTTCTCTTTCTCTCACACAAGGCTCCGGCCTCCACACACGGCTCCGGCCACCCGGTTTTCCTTGAAACACCCATCCTAACTTAGGCATCGGAGGGCCTTTGGCCAACAACCCCCGGGTGTGGTCCTTTTACTCCGATCTGTTTTGTAGGGAGAGAGAGGTGTGAAGAAGACGAAGGAATCTTTAGGCGAATATTCTCGTGGGAGGAAATTTGCTCCCACACCTATGCTTCAGATCACAATGCACATATGACATGCAGCAAACATAAACTCAAATACAAGAAACGAGGTCGGTTTTAAAAGTGAAGAATTCCTGCACAATAACAGAGCTAAGGAGAATGAAGAGGCAAATAATGCAGGGGCTGATAATCATGATTAACTACATAACCTCAATGATTTTCAATCTAAAGACTCAAAAGCCAAAAATACAGACAACAAATAAAAAGAAACCATGGAACAAACAGAAACTAAGAAAGGCCCTAGCATTGCACCGAATCCTTGTGAACACATATATGATAAAATTTATGGATTTCCAAAGGCATTACCTTATCATAGTCCTTGTTCATTGCTTCCCAAATCATTCTTTTGAATAGTGCCGCTTGCTTTCTGTTAAGATACCCAACAAGCTACAAACCACAACCATCATGCCTTCCATGTCAAAATTCCAAAAATAAAAAATTGAAGCAACAATCATATACAAATCCAAATCAAAGATAGCACTTTACAGATAGGTCTAGACCAAGCACTATATATACCAAGTGGCTATGATGGAAGTGATCTTGAAGAAAGCTGATGGATCATGGACACATGAAACCAGAAGCAGCTGAGAAAGCATAGACTGCAAAAGAAGCCAAAGGACGCTGAAAGAGGCCATTGTTGTTTCAGACTTTCAGTCAATCGCAATGTTCGAAAAATCAGCCTAGGCGGGCGGCTAGGTGGCTAGGCGGTCGCAAGGCAGGCTCAAGGCGGCTAGGCTGTCGCTAGGAAGGCGTGAGGTGGCTACGCAGTTGCTAGGCGTTTGCTAGGCGGGCGCGAGGCGGCTAGGCGGTGGCTAGGCGGGTTGGGTCTTTTTTTGTTGCCGAACCCGGAGGACGAAGCAGCCAAAACCAAATCGAAGCTTGAGTTGATAGAGAAGGGAAATGGCTTGACTGCGAGTGCAAGCTTCGTGTTCGTCTGGAATATATTTAACGGGTATAGCCGCTCGGCTATACTTTTAAAATATTCAAATGTCTTTGAATTGGCAATAAAGAAACAATCTTGGTTTTTGTGATTCTTTTTTAAGTTTGGATTTTTAAAAAAAATCTAGGCTGGGCTTGTTTTGGGTTTTTTTGTGTCTTTTGTATTGGGCTTGTTTTAAGTTAATCAATGGCAGAGATGTAATTTATAGGAAGTTCAACACTTATTTGTTATGTAGTAAATGTTTTTTGGGTATATTTATAAAGTGAATTCCATATTTTGGGTTTTTTTTATAAAATTGGGCTGGGGTTATTTTGGGTGCTTTTTGCGTTTTTGTTTTATGTTGGGCTTGATAGTGGCAGTGTTGTAATTTATTGGAACTTCAATACTAATTTGTTATTTAATAAATGGGTTTTGGGTGTGTTTATAAAGTGTTTTCCATGTGGGGTTTTTTTATATATAATTTCAGCCCCTATTTTGGGTATATTAGTGAAACTCCCTATTTATAATACAATAGAACTTTAATGGGCAAGTAAATAATAAATTCATATTTCTATTTATAGTAGGAAATCAGGAATTAAAGTAAATAAAATATAATTATAATGGGAATCCTTGGTATGTAAGGAAAGAAAGTTAATGGTCCACAAGTCACACCAACACATCCCCCTACCAAAGAATAAGCATTTGGACTAAAAATTTGGGTGTGTGTAAATTTCAGGATTGAAAAGTTATTTAATTTAGTAGCGATTTCTAAAATTTTAGAAATAAAAATAAGATCAATGGTGTAAGGGTCCACCATAGTTGGTTGAATCTCTACTTGAGCATTTGGTGGTGTGATGTTGTTAAGTAAAGTATCGTTCCCCCGAAGAGTGATTTAATTTACTAAGTACCGATTGTGAGAGCATTAGTGCTTCCGATTTCACCATAGCAAATACTTGAGAATTGCCATTCCAATTTGTGAAACCGAACTACCTAATTGGTAATTGCCAAACGACCTTTTTCATTCAATTCTTCTCCATTTAAGCTCCAAATTGCTCTTACATTTAAACCCTTCAAAATACTCACAAAACTAATTAAAACCAACAGTTTAACTCAAAATCATAGCAATATGACAAGTAAAAGAGATATAATAAATGGGCAAAATATCAATATATCATATAGGTTGACAAAAAAAAAAAAAAAAAAAAATTT